AAAAAAAACAACAAAAAAAACATGACCTCCACGCTGCAAAAAATGCTATCAAAGACAACCCAAAAAAAAAAACCCGCCGCAAGGTGTGAGCACTCCTATTGATTTTTGCCACACTGCCCGTGTTGACTGTCTGCTACATCTGATGCTTCCCTCCAGCGGGGTACGGAGGGCATCATTTCAAATGAGTGACAACTCGCAACCTTGACTTGCTCGGCTTATGCAGCTGACTTGACGTTTTACAGCCAACCCTAAAAACAATTCATTGGACGGAACGACAGCAAAATGCGACAACACGAGAAAGAAACTTTATGTTCGAAGGCATCTTAGCTCCTCCCGGTTGCACGATTCCCTCCACAAAGAGTCGCTCTGCTCGTTGTCATCCCAAGTGTGAAGTGCATTGTCATGTCGAGGTCACCCAAATGCGGTGAGAGTTTATGTGAGTGCCATTGCTGAATCACCGTCGCCGTGGCAACCAGAGATGAGGCCGCAAACACTGAGATGTACCCGTCCAGGCTCTGCAATATGATCGTGCAGTATGTTTGTTATTTTCGGGTCTGTAATTGTCTTGTATCATTGTCCAAATTTTATAAACCATGACAGGTAAATTTCCTGTGATGTTGAGCGACCAGATTTAAAACAAAACCAAAAAAAAAAAAAACATTCTGCCCTCCCACGTCATGAACTCTTTGCCCATTTTTTTTTGGGTAACATTTTGAATGTTTTTTTTCCAGGTCACGGCCTCTTCGGCTCCTTCGAGATGCTGTCGTCGTGGCGACGCACGCGCGAGGACCAGCACGTGAAAGAGCGCGTGGCGAGCGTCTTCGAGGACGTCATGCTTCGCTTCTCGGGTTCCACCGCGCTCCACCTGATGACTTTAGGCTTGGCCGCCTCGCCGCTCACCAACATGGAGGCGGTGCGCCTCTTTTGCCGCACCGCCGCGCTAGCTGTCAGCGTCAGCTACGCCTACATGCTCTCCTTCTACAGCTCCTGCCTGGTCTTCACCGGTTACCTGGAGACCGGCTACAGACACGGCTGCTTTTGCCGACGAGTGCCCAAACAGGACCGGCTGAACTCGAAACCGGCCTGGTACAGATGCCTGATGTACACCCGCTATCAGGACGAAGCGCAGACCGCCACCGGGACGCCACATGGCATCGGACACGCGCCCCACCCGCCCAGCATGGAGCACACGCGCACTTACATTCACCCTCGGGCAGCCAACAACCACCTGATGAACACTCCCATCCACCCTCACACCTCGGACCCTTGTCCTCAGGACTCACACCTTTTGCTAGGCTGTGTGAGGCGTTGCTACGGAGACTGGATCACCAATACTTATGTCAAGCCCTTTGTTGTGCTGCTCTACCTGGTCTACATCTCCTTTGGGCTCATGGGATTCCTGCAGGTGAGACACCCAGTATGCACGAAATTACTCTTTCTGATGAAGACCTTTTCACCATGATGTCAGGTGTGTGTGTGTGTGTGTGTGTGTGTGTGTGTGTGTGCGTGTGTGTGTGTGTGTGAGAGAGAGAATATATAATACATTCTTCTGTTTTTAATTCTCCTTGGTAAGTCACATTGTCTCATAACTGCTGAGCTATTTTTTGAAGAGGCAGCTGATGTTCTTGGGGCTAACTTGTACCCCCTGGCATCATTTTTTAAAAAAATTCAGGACAATGAGTAAAAATGCATCCGTGTTTGCAGTGTAATCATGCTCCCTCCCTCTTCCTCCATGCGTAACTGCTCACCCCTCCCCTCTCTGCTCGCCGTGAAGGACGAAAAAAAAAGACATCGACTAAAATGCAGTCGAAAAATAGGCGTAGTTCGTTACTAACCCAGCAGTAACTCATTTTGTGTCGTCAACAGGTAGCCCAGGGCTCAGAGCCCAGCTCCCTGGTTGCCATGGACACGGCCACGGCTTCGTACACCCGCGCCCAGCAGCGTTACTTCAGCTCCTACTCGCCCGTTATTGGCTTCTACATTTACGAGAGCGCCCCCTACTGGAACACCACAGTGCAACGCGACCTGCTGGAGTACGCCAAAGGCTTCCAGCGCATCAGTTGGCTGGAGGCCTACCTGGCCTACCTGTCCGAGCGCAACCAGTCCACCAGCTCGGCCCGGGAGAATTTCACCCACACCCTCCGCCACGGCTTCCTGCGGGAGCCTCAGTTTGCCCACTTTGCCGACGACATCATCTTCGCCGAGCGGGGTCCCGGCGAGGAGCCCGACGTGGCGGCGTCCCGCATCTTCCTGGTGGCCAAGACCACGGAGAACAAACGCGAGGAGATGTCGGTGCTGCTGGACACGCTACGCCGCCTGTCGCTCACCTCCCGCGTGCGCTTCCTCATCTTCAACCCCTCCTTCGTTTACCTGGATCGCTACGCCGCCGCCGTCAGCTCGCCCTTGCGCCACTCCCTCCTGGCCGTCCTCTTCCTGTTGGGTCTGTCCTCCCTGGCCGTGGTGGAGCCCCTCGTGTCCGTGTGGCTGGGGCTCACCATGCTCTCGGTGCAGTTCGGCGTCCTGGGCTTCATGACCCTGTGGGGCGTGGAGCTGGACTGCGTGTCCGTGCTGTGTCTGATCCTGGCATTGGGACACGCCGCCGACTGCAGCGGGCCGCTCCTGTGCGGTTTTGCGGCTGGCCGGGGCGACAGCAGGACCCACTGGGTGAGGGTGGCTCTGGAGAGGCACGGCGTACCCTCGCTGCAGGCCTTCCTCTGCTACGGCGCCGCCTTGGCGCCCGTGGGCTCGGTGCGCTCCAACCTGACGCGCACGCTCTTCCGCTGCCTGGCCCTGACGGCCGGATGCTCCGCCCTCCACACGCTGGCCTTCCTGCCCACCCTGCTCACCTTCCTGCCTCCCTCCAAAAACCGAGCTCACCGCCCCCCGGCGGGCGACGGACCCCGGCAGGAAGTGGAGTGCGTGGAGATGAATGACGGCACTCGGGTGGTCGACCAAATCACTACGGTTTGACCGCGGCGATATCGCAACGCGTTTTCGAGACTTTGACGCCAGGGGTGCTCACGTCCCATCCTCAAGAGTCCCTATCCAGCTTGTTTTCTCTCCCTCCTCCAGCTCACCTGATTCAAGTGATCAGCTCATCCTCATCATGGATCATTGTCAAGCTTTGCCGAAGCCTGATAATGATCCGAATCATTTTAATCAAGGGGTGTTGGAGGGGGCGACATCCAAAACGGGCTGCATAGGGTTGCCATGGAGCTCGCCGTATGGGAACGGGATCGCTGACTGAGAGACGAAGCTCGTTGAGGGGGGGAAAAAAACGGAGGGGAAAAGGTTAAGCAAATGCACATTTGACTGCGGAAAAGAAGCAAAGAGCTGGATGTCGCGTTTCCACGGCAACGGGCTCGTCCAAGACAACCAAAGAGCCGAGCTAAGGCTTTTTGGGTCCAGTCGGCTGCTGCCTGCTGTTTGTTTGCCTTATGGAATTGAGCGGTACACAAAGTTGACAAAAATTCTGGGACGCCCCTCTTAATCAATCGGCCAATTGATAATAGGAGCACTGACTCTTAATTGATCATCTTATCCAGACGTTTTGGATGATTGTTTGCTTCTGAGGTTTCCTTTTCTGTTTCCAGCACACAGAGCACGGATGTGATTTGAGTCAACGTAATACATTTAGCGGAAACCACATTTGAATATTTTTATTTTATTTTTTTTAACACAAAATTCAAACACACGCCACCTGATACAAAGTCTTCCCATCGCTGTCCCAATTCTTTTGTCCATTTCGTGTACTTTGCAGTGACAGCACAAGGAGGCAATCGTCTGTATTTGTAGAAGAAATAAAGGCACGGTGATTTCATTCACGCTCGAGTTTTTGGCACTTGTGACGTGGTGCCATCATGCCCTGGTCAATAAAAGGAGTTTTATTCCAGAAGATAAAATGTTTTGCCCCACTTTCTTTACTCTATCAAGGTCCTATTTGTGAACAAATCACATTAATGATCCTCACGTAGTTGTCATCTTATGATTTTTTTTTTCTTTTCTGTTTTGATTCCGAATGCTGAGAACTCCATCTGTTGTTGTGCTGTAAAGCCACAACAACAACCTCACGGACTCAAATGAAAAAAAAAAGATCCTTTTAAAAGCGCAACTCAGGCGCACGTGTTGTTGGATCACATTGTGGCACTTGTGGAATCATCTGATTTTGTTTTCTTTCCTCCCTCAGTGCGACCCAACAAAGCCCGCCTGTCACCCGAGCAGTCAGCGGTCTTCGCTGCCTCCTTGTGTTCACTTCCTCCACTGCAAAGAGCCTGCGTGAGCCTTGCGGATGTTTTTGTCTGCTTTGAATTTGCAGCTACACTTGTGAGTGTGTGTGTTTGTGTGTGTGTGTTCATGTTCTGGAGTGTTTCTGTAACATTTCTCTCACCGATATCCATTTCACTATTGAGCCTGAGGGATAATATTGCTCTTTTGTCAACAACTTTAGACAGTGCTAATATTCTACATACTTTCTTGTGTTTTGACAGAAACACACACACACACACACACATGTGCGCAGAGTGAGACGGATCAAATAAAGGCTAATACTCTGTCCAGGAACTGTCTGGACCTGCATCCTGTAGCACCAGCTGTTGCCCTCCAGTCATACTCGGCGGACGGATTGATGGCTGGAGAGATAGACGGCGGAACGGAGGGATGGATTCAAGCACAGATTGACGGATGGATGGATGAGGGCTCGGATGAACGGATAGACGAGCATGTTAAAGAGGACTCGGGAGGTCAGTTTGACTGATGGGTGGAAGTTTCCTGGCTCGATGGAAAGATGAGCGCGAATCGATCGCTCAGTGATGAATCGTGGATGTCCCGATAGATGGATGCAAAAATCTATGATGCAGCAAGGATGCATGTAAGGGGAGATGGATGGATGGATGAAGGGACCACCTGAAAGACAGATTCAAAGACAGAAGATGGAGGAGAGAAGCGAAGATGGACCGATCGGGGCGGGTGGATGGATGGATGGATGGAGGAAATGGTGGCGAGATGCACAATGGCCAGTCAGATGGACCACGGCGGGTCGGACACACAGACATCCTCGCCCCTCCTCCGCGTGGGCGTGTCCCTGTTGAGTGTCTTTTCCCGAGCTCACAAACTCACCGCCGCATAGTGAGCGAGACGCGCTTGTTGTTGCAACCCAGTACACACCACCGAAGAAGAAGAAGAAGAAGCGCAATGGCCAGACGGCCGCATGATCAGACCAGTCTTGCGACCTAGGAAAAGTACAAAATGGACCCAAAGAGCACAAAAAGCAGCAGGTAACGTTTTGTTAAAATGAATTTCTCTCCTATTAATTATCTTTCATAATTTGAATGTGATAGTAAATACTCATCATGTTGTACGTTTATATCAGGCCAATTCACTGGTTACAAACATAGCGTCACATTTTGTAAATATGAGCTTATGAGAGAGTGACATGTGATATGCAGCGTGTGAACCGGAACAGAACAATGCCGTGCCAAACAAAAGCCTGCCAGTGATGGAAGTCTGAATGCGCTCGCGGAGCAACCCTGCCCCCGAGGTCCGAAAACTTTACCCGACGAGAACACGTCGACATCGCGTCTGCTTCCACGAAGGCGGCAAGCGGAAGCGGAACAAAGTGTTCGCATCGTGTGAAATGAATTTTGAGGAAGCCCGCAAAACGGGAAGTCCAAATTAACAAATGGATTGAAACACAACAATCCACCACTGGGAAGTTAGCATGCGTAAGTCATGTGACGCCCATGGGCCAACTGCGTGGTTGTGTACCCCAACGACTCAATTATGAGATGAAAGCCGGTTCAGCTCAAGGGTGACCAATTGATTTTGAGGTGTGTCCAATTACTTTTGATCACGTGTGTTTCCAGGAGGAGGAGGAGTGGTCGGTGCACAAATGTTTTGCTCCAAGTACTTCGGCTTTCCTTTTTGGGAGCTGCTCCAGTCCCAGGTACAAATGTCCCATTGCCACCCAATGTGGTTCTGGTACTCAACCTTTTGGAGATTTTATTTCTGATTGTTACGTTCCGGAACGTGGGTGGATCCCACAAACGAACACAGAGATAAAATAAGCTGTCCTGAAAAAAGTGCAAATTACAGAGCCAGGGAAAAAAATGGAATGAACAAAATGGGCGGATCCCACAAACGAAGACAGAGATAAAATAATCTGTACCGAAAAGAGACAAAGTGCAAATTACAGAGCCAGGGAAAAAAATGGAATGAACAAAAAGCACTTTGCAGAAGTCAAGGAAATATATAATTTAAATTCCTTGTCACAAAAAGACAAGTAAAATCCAATTACGAGAAATAGTACTTATTGAAGCAAAACAAGGTAAACCATGGCACGGATTAAAAAAAAAAAAAACGGCATAAACGAGATACGAATGTCGAGAGAATTAACACTTTGTCCGAGAGTCGTGAGCAAGGTGAATAATCCGACAGCAAGTTGTCAGCGTAGCAATCCTTATGTAGTCCACTGATGATAACGCATGACAGGTGCGATGTTGGAGGGAAACGCCCACCGCCGAAAACTGCAACCAAAAACATACCGGAACATGACACTGGTAATTGGCAAGTTTAGCTTGAAGGAAGAAAAACTATCCCGCATTATTCGCTTATTTGTTGTTGTGCTCAGGCCAAAACCATGTCTGATCCTCTCCTCTTTCATCTATAACTGCTTCAGACAACAAAGTGTATGCAGAAAAGTGGTGAAGATTGCACGATTGTCTTGTGTCCTATGTGGCGCCGCGAGAGTGGCTGCCTTTCCAGCAGCTCCTATATTTTGTTGTTCTACTTCTTCCTTTCATAACTTTGCTGCTGTGAATTAGGAATTTCTCCATTGTGAGACTAATAAAGGTTTTCTTATCTTATCTTATCTTAACATACGAATAGTGCTTTGGCGCCACCTAGTGGTATACTGGCGCTAAGGAAACACCGGAACCACTTTGGTCGGACTCTAGTTTTAGAGAAGTGAAATAACCTGTACACCCCCCCCCCCCCCCCCCCCCTTCCTAAAGCTTTCGGTTACTTCCTGGGGGACACCAAGGCGGTGCTGAACGGCTGCAAAGACCACTGGACCCTGCAGGACAGCACGTTCACGCCCTTTTTGTCCCAGATGACTGTGTGCTTGGATGTCCGAGTGCTTTCCCCTGGAGCCTGGGTGGCCTTCTCCTATAGCTCGGTCCACGCACCCATGCCCGATCTGGGTCTGGAAGGGAATGAGGGGGCAGTGTACGGGTGGCTGCTTGGGGTCCGGCACCGCTTTCCCGTTAGTCTGTCCCTGGCTCGGTGGCACACGGTGTGCTTGAGGAGAGATGTCCCCGGAAAGTCATTCAGCTTGGAGGTAATCGGTGCGAGATTCTGTGCTCGGTTGCAAAAGTTACACCGAGTTCATGCGGTGACCTTTCGCATTCAGCTTAATGGACGTCTGGTGGCCAAGCGGACGGTCATCGCCCAGGCCATCCCCCCCTCTGGGTCCCTGTGGCTGGGCTGCCGTCCTCGGCAGAGGCCGCGCGGCGCAGTGCTCGGCCAGGTGGAGGTCTACATGTTCCGGATGTGGGATGACCTGGCCCACCGCGGCCCCTGCGAGGATGGCACCGTGATTGGCTGGGACGCCCGATTCTGGGGCCTGACCAGCCCCAGGGCTCGGCAGACGGATCGCCAGCTCCACTGTGGTGAATATTAATTTAGTTTTTACTTCGAGCAAGTGCTGCAACAACGACAAGTATCGCTGTTTTTGGCCCAACAATCCGAATTTGGACTCTCTTTCTCCCTTCCACCTGGGAAATAATTTATAATGCCTGAGTGCACCGAGTCTTTTACCGGCACTGTAACTGTAACCTAACTTAACCCTCTAACCCAGGGGTGTCAAACTCATTTCACATTGTGGGCCACATACGGCTTCGGTAGATGTAAAGTGGGCCGGACCATTAAAATTATACCATACTCTGCTGTAAATAACCAAAATAATGTATTTCCTTTGTTTTGGTCTAAAGAAGCACAAGAACATTAGGAAAATGTTGAAATTTAAAAAACAGATCTAGCGGATACTCCATGAATTGCACCCTATTAAAAATATTCATTCCGTGTCTTTTATGCATTTTTTTCACTTTTAAATTATCCTGTTGGCCAGATCGAACCTCCTTGCGGGCCAATTCCAGCCCACGGGCTGTATGTTTGACACCACTGCTCTAACCCTTTCTGTCACTGGTACAGTTGCACGATCAAACTGCCAATATTGTTCGCGATGTCAAATCTTAATTCGTCGTCGCGATTGTTTTGCTTTCAGTTTCCGCATTTACTGACAGCCCCCGTCAAAGTCAACCGGCGTCAGTCATAGTGACACCTCGGGACCGCATGGAAAAATCTTCAAAAAGCGAGAGCACAACATCATCGGACATCAACGGCTCCTCCGCCGTCACCGCCAGTGAATTCACATCAAACGACGAAATCGCATCTCGGCCACTGAATTTAGCCCCGCCCGCTGATCACATCCTAGCCGGTCGCCTCTCGAGTAGCAGCCGGACACCTCATGAAAGGTCCCAAAAATCAGCCCGTAAAATTGCTGACTCGTCACTTCCACGTGGAAGCGCAATCGCACCCCTCATCAACGACACATCACGGTACGACGTAACGACAACGCCCTCTACGTCTGACTACGATGCAACCACACGCTACAAAGGATTCACACGTCTTCCAAATGACACAGTGTACAACAAAACAACTCCCACATTCCTACCATCTGCCAGCAACACCCTTGACGACAATGTAACTGCAGTCAGTGAAATCACACCCCTCATCAAAGACACCCCACGATTCCACCATACTACCCCATCCACGACGTCTGACGCCACAACGCGCAAAACTTTTCCACATCTTCCAAATGACAAAACGGGATCCAACTTTTTACTCCCCTCTGCTCACAAAACACTTGAGTACAATGTAACCGCAGTCGGCGCGATCACGCCCTTCATCAACGACACGTCACAACACAACCTAACAACACGAGTCTCGACCTCGGGCTATCGTGTAACCACGCACCACAAAACAACCGAAACGGAGTACAACGTAACATCTGACTTGTTACTTCCGCTTGCCGACACTCCTCTCGAGAGCAATGAACCACCAGTTGGTACAACAGCGGCTCTCCTCAAAGACACGTCACGACACAACCTAACTGCACCTTCCTCGACATCGCCCTCCAATGTCACCGCACTCAAAGCATCATCACCCGTCCCGAATGACGCCACACTGCAGAATAAAGCAACTGGCAGATTGTTACCGTCGGCTAACAGCACACTTGAGAACAACGCGACAGGAGTCGGTGCAATGACGCCATTTGTCAAAGACACACCGCCAGACAACCTAACTGCAGCTTCCTCGACATCACTTGCCAACGCAACTCCACACAAAGCGTTTCCAAATGACCCCGAGGTGTACGATGTCACGGCGGCCGACGCATCAACACCCACTGACATCGCGGACCTCAACGGGACGACGGCGAGCGCGATAACGCCCCTCATCAAAGACACCCCGCGATACAACCTAACTGCAGCTTTCTCTTCATTAGTCGACGACGTGACCGCACACAAAGCGTTTCCAAACGACACCGCCGCGGATGACATCACGGCAACCGACGCGACACCAACTGACCGAACCGACCTCAGTGTAACTCAAATAAGTGCGTGGGTATCCTTAATCAAAGACGCGCCACAAGACCACCGAATGACATCCTCCCCTCAACCGGTCGACGATGTAACGACTCGCGATAAAGCATTGACATCCGGTGCCAATCGCGCAGCAGGGAACACAGCCAACGTCCTTGCCGATCGACACGACAGCACTCCCGCAAGTCGCCCGACGTACGCACCGACAACCCCCGGCGACGCGCAACCGGACGACGTAACAGACAACCGTGACGCCGCCTTTTCCCACGGTTACGCAAAGCACAACGTCCAGACAGCCACGCAAAATTCAACGGATGGCGTGATCGACGACACGCCTCTGAAAGCGACCGTTCCCGATATGAACAAACATCCCGCCTCTTACTGTCCGACGACGTCCGATGACATAACGCCGTCGACCACAAATGCCGCAGCTGAAGCGATTGATGACATAACAACCAACAAACACGAGGACGCGTTCGCAGTCTCGACAAACGATCGTCCTGAAGCCCGAGTGGAGTCGAGTACAAAAGTCGGGGCCTCCCGTGAACGTTTCGCAAGAACCTCTGCCACGATGACCGCAACCACAACGGAGACGCTTCAAAGTAAGAACGCCGCGACGGAGTCTTCCTCACCCGGTAAGAATTATGACATCATAGCCTGGATCGCAAGACTTCCCGCCGTTGGTCGAACCGTCAGCAGGGCGCCGTTTGCTCCTGCCTCTCCTCAAATCATCATTCGTCTTTTTTCAGCTTTTATTTCTGCCAGATATCAATAAACAGTTCATACATTCAATTTTCACGTAACAAATATTGGCATGTATTGAGACAGGACAAAGAAACCCGATCGAATAAACACCATGATTCCCCTCAAGGGTCGGGAACTCCCTCCATGTTGTCTTCAGGTACAAAGAACAACCTGGAGGAGCAAGCGGAGAAACTTCTGGAAAAAACTCGGGACGCATCTCAGCTCAACTCCTCCCAGGTGAAATTCAAAGCCGATGAAGCAGAACTTGGGACTCCTCTTCCTGTTTGGATTCTTGTCGAGTTGAGCTGCGTGACGGGATTTGATGTGCGCCTCGTCAAACCAACTTATGACTCTGCTATTAATTGTCGCAGGTGGCAGAGTTGGTGGCGGAGCTGGAGAGGCTTTTGGATGCTCCCGTCGTGTCTCAAGCTTTGGGCAAGAAAGCCGTCAGCATTGTGAGCAACCTGATGGAGGGCGACCCCCTCGCCCTTGACGCCTCCTCCAACAGGTACAATCCACCCGACGACAGTCAAACCTTTAAATAAACACTTTGAGGGACAGCGGTTACTACAGTGGACAGCTTGTCATGTTATCAGGTGACAGGGTGCTTGAAAAGGTTAAAAAAAATACAAATAAAATCCAAAGATCCATGTTGAAGTCATCTGGGTGTTCTCTTCAGGATCATTGCAGTGGTGGAGGACTTGGGTCTCAAGCTGCTTCTAACCGACGCCCCTGTCGTCCTCTCGTCCGGCTCGCTGGTTCTGGCCGTCCAGAAAGTGGACGGAAGCGACTTTCCGGAGATGTCTGTCAACATCGTCAACACCGAGGACGTTCAGGTCGTGAGACTGTCATTGTTGATGAGACCAAAAACCTTCCTTGGTTTTTATGATGCCTTTTGAACAGATAAGCGATGGCGGCGAGAGGTTCAAGAATCGGGACTCCGCCATGGCTTCCGTGTACCTGCCGTCTTCCATCATGGAGGCCTTGAGTGGTGACGAGCGGAAGCTCGTCGACAGGGTCCAGTTCACGTTCTACAGTCAACCGATCCTGTTCCAGGTGCTTTCCCCGCTGCTGTCATAACGGTCAACTGAAATCCAATCCTCCTGTTTAGAATTTCAACATTCAAAGGTTTAGACGAGGTCAAGGTCATCCTTTAATTTCACCTTTTTGTGAGCAGCGTGTATTATTATTATTATTATTTAATTTTTTTTGTTCCAGGACGACACATTGAACAATCAGACCGTGGTCACTTCAGTGTTGGCATCGAGCGTCAGCAACGTGTCAATCAGCAACCTGACTGACAACATTCGTTTCACCATTCGAAACAGCCAACCTATACACGTGAGTGCACATGAACGTTTCCATCCAAACACGGGAACTTTTCTCCTGAACTTCATCCGATCTGTCGTTAGCAGGCTAGCTACGAGGCCGTTTGCGCCTTCTGGGACTTTGCTATGAGCGGTGAGCAACAAGACACGGATTGGGCGCTAGTGAGCGCGCTGATCACGATGATGGTATGGATTCTTTTCAGGCGGCGCAGGTGGATGGAGCACCACCGGCTGCACTGTGGCGAGCGCCACGTCGTGGAGAACGACGTGCACCTGCAGCCACCTCACTTCCTTTGCCGTCCTGCTGGTCAGTGCTTGACATGATCCATCGTTGGTCATTTTGGCACCAGCAAAACAGCTTTTTATTATTCCAGTGGTTAGTTGATTTATTATTTCAATTCATTTTCAAGGTTGTGGTTGTGTTACGTGTCCTAAAAACAGGATCTGTCCAGAGGCGGGATAAATGACCGCAAGCAGGCACAAATCCTCACCTTCATCACTTATATTGGCTGCGGCATTTCGGCCATTTTTCTGGCTGCCACATTGTTGACGTACCTTTCGTTTGAGTAAGGCTCTGAAATGATGGATTGATCTTTTTTGGGGGGGGCGGGGGCAGATCGATGTATTTATTCTCCTTCAAACCGCGCAGGAAGTTGCTGCGTGACATTCCGGCCAAGATCCTGGTGCAGCTCTGCTTTTCGCTGCTCCTCCTCAACTTGGTCTTCCTGCTGGACGGCTGGCTGGCGCAGTCCCCGGCTCGCGGCCTTTGCATCAGCACCGCCTTCTTCCTGCACTACTTCCTGCTCACTTCCTTCACCTGGGCGGGGCTGGAGGCCTTGCACATGTACCTGAGCATCGTGCGGGTGTTCACGCCGTACCTCAGCAGATACATGCTCAAGTTCTCGCTCATCGGCTGGGGTCGGTAACTTCGGAGTGGCTCACGGTCGGCTTTTCGTGGGGGGGACCAAAAGATGTTTTTCATATTTGTTTTCATTGCCCAGCAGGGGTTCCAGTCGTCGTTGTGGTTGTGGTGATCTCGGTAGACAAAGACAATTATGGTCTGGTTTCATATGGACGGAACATGGACGGCACCTCCGGGGACTTGTAAGTACCTTGATGTGACAAGATTCTGGACACCAAAAGTATCATATTGGCCCGAATATAAGACGGCCCTGATTATAAGATGGCCCCCTCTTTTTCAAGACTCAAGTTTGAAAAAAGACTTTTTGAACACCAAATTAATTTTTATACAGAAAATAATTAGAGTACATCTGAAACAAATGATTCTAACAATATATTGAGAGAAAAAGCATGTTATTTTGCCTCATTCAAATCTTAATATCTGAACATTTAAATATGTAAACTAAAGTGCAATCACATTCGTCAATGAATGGCTTCTGGTTTTTTGAAATGTAAATGACATCATAACTTCTCCTCAGCTGCCGGTTAACCTGGCCGATCTTCGACCCACTTTTCTCCAGATTGTCGCTATGTTTCTCCATTTTTTGTTATCTCTTCTATTATTTTCTTCTCTTTTCTTTCTTACCGCTATTTTTTATTTTTCTTCTTCATGCTACCGCTTTTTTTATTTTTATTCTTCGTGACAGGGGTTCGCTTTGGCCTGGGGAGTCAAGTTCAGCATTCGCTTCAATGATATCTCGCGCCATCTAGCGTCGTGAATGGGTATAATGTCTAGACCCTGAATATAAGACGACCCGCACTTTTTCAGTCTTATTTCAATGCAAAAAACACCGTCTTATATTCGGGGCCAATACGGTAGTCAACCTCCTAAGCAAACAAACATTCCTAAATAGAAACATTTTAGAAGCTGCGATATTCGGAGTTCATTTTCTTGGTGTTTTCCAGCTGCTGGGTGCGCAGCGACGCGGCCTTCTACGCCGGAGTGGTGGCCTACTTCCTGCTGGTGTTTGCTTCCTGCCTGCTGGTCTTCGCCGTGGTCATGGTGCAGCTGTCACGCATCAAAAAGCAGAACCCGCACAACCAGTCGCCTCATCGCGGCGTGGTGGCCGACCTGCGCAGCGTCGCCGGCCTGGTGGCGCTGCTCGGCCTGGCCTGGGGCTTCGCGCTGTTTGCCTGGGAGCCGCTCTACTTGCCCTTTGCCTACCTCTTCACCATTTTCAACTCTCTGCAAGGTCAGGACAGAAAATTTTAAAAGCACCCCTCGACTGGTGAAAATACACTTATGAAGCTCCTCACCCGCCTTAACATAGTTCCTTGGCACAAATATGCCACATTGATGGGTGGAAAGCACCACTTTTGTCTAAATGAAGCTCCTCACCCAGCTCAACATAGTTTCTCGTTACTTCACGCCACTGTTGTCTATTAGTGTGTCCTTAAAACCATTTGAATCTCCTCTCCAGGGTTGTTTGTCTTTATTTTCCACTGTGCCTGCAAGGAGAGCGTCCGCAGGCAGTGGCAAACATTCCTGTGTTGCGGGCATCTGCGTTTGGCTGAAATCTCAGGTGATGTGACGCATGAAAGCACGTCAAAAATGTAAAGAAATGCAAATGGACATCCAGGAAATGAATGCACAAAATTGTTGCAGAATGGGGTCGGGCCGCCGCTCGGGAGAACAGGAACTTTGCCGTGACGACGTCGGGCGTGTCGACTCGCCAGCTGGCCTCTCGGAGCTCCTCGCTCGCCAGCAACAGCACCAACAGTGGCAGTACGTAGTTCCTTAATTCACTTCCACGTAGCTCTTCAGCACAAAGATCCCACGAAAATGGCGCTAAAGCACTACTTTTGTCTAAATGATGCTCTCGACTCCTTTCATCATAGATTCTTGGCACCAAGATGCCCAGAGATGATGCAAAAGTGTTACTTTTGTCTTAATAAAGGTCCTTAACTCACTTCAACACACAAGAAGTGTGTGGTTTTTATTTTTTTCATCAAAAGATGGTTTCCTCACCATAATCTGTGAATATGTAAATTTACAATTATTACAAAAATATATGATGTAATCAAAACATATTTTCACACAATGGCTTTCATGTTTTCGTCCCCACAGGTTCAGTGTTTGCAGACAGCGGCATGTCTGAGGGTTCGAGCTGCGACGTGGTCCTCAACGAGCTCCACAGACAGACTGTCGCGTTTTAAAGAAATTCCACTTTATTCCTCGTCATTCTTGTCTCGATGTACATTTAGTTGTCAGTATTTCTCCTCTGGCAGTAATTGAGCGTCCTCGCTTTTTGCAATTCCAGACATGTCCACTAAGTGGCAGTGTAAGACCGCTCATCGGTTCGAAATGAAGCGGTTCGAGAGAGTTCAGGAATTCAAGCGTCATCATCACGACGGTTTTCAAACTTCTACCTTAAAAGATTTTTTTTCAATTTATTTATTTTCAGTTCGGGACATTTATGAAAATAGTGAAGGATTGGAGATTATTTTGGTCGGTCGTCGCCCGCCTCGGGGCTGTGTCACAACAGTAGCCAGCCTGTCACTCTGCGGCGGGAGGCTAATAACGGCTGGTTCTCTTCAGGCCATCGGCGAGATTACAAAAAAAAAAGAAAGAAAAGAAGATATTACAACAGCAAAGCAACGGGTGTTGCCATGGTGACAGTAATAACAGTCAGAAATCAGACTTGTGAGTTACGACTTCTCCAAAGGATCATTTGTCTCTTGTGTGTCCTCTTTTCGGGAACTCATTGGAGGACCTCCGAGGATCGGCTCGTTGACGGTGAAAGCACGTAAAACAAGAATCTTGTCATCAGCTTCTCCCAGAAACAATACAGCATTCTACTTCATTAAAAAAATACAGTAATGATACAGTTCATAGAATGTATAAAAAAAAGAGTTTGTCTCATTTTTGTTTTCATTTCAATAACACCGTCACACATGGAGACTGTTAGTCATTCTTCACAGAGGATAAAGAATACATGTCTCGGAGTCTTTTTAGACTGGTTATTTATGTTGCTTCATTGTGTTTAAATATCCTTTGCTTCAGGGGTTCTAACCAATGCTATTTGCGAGCCCGTCTATGGTGTTACCCATTATGTGTTAGCATCAAGCTAGCATGCTTTAAGTTCGGATTATGTGGTTGTTTAATACAAAGTCAAGCCTCCTCTGGGAGTGATGGGATCAATGACGCAAAGTGCTCAATCAAACGCTGATTGACTGAGTCAGCAGGGACAAAGTCAGCCATTGAACTTTGCAGTGTGGGAACATGACGTGACTTTCACTTTGCCTTTTTGATCCTGGAAAAGCTACACCTTGGAGTGCAAATGATCCCAATACTAACGTGAACTTATAATGCACGTTTGGAACGAAACATTCGAGCAAATCATGGAGAAACAATACAACAATACTCACAGGCACATATTCCTTATCCTCTGCACAGAATGCCTAACTACAATTACTGCGGCTTACTGAGTCACTTGTAAAACACTTCATGAGTTTTTATGTCTGTATTATACTGCCCCCAATTGACCAAGGCACACCTACCAGAAGGAGCGGCACGGTGTCCATTGAATTGAAGCAAAAAAAAAAAAAAAAATCCAAAAAGGAACTGTTCAAAAAGATGAAATGCAAATGGCATGTGTGGATGCTTTGATGAGCTCTTGGCACGATGCAGCTCTATAAACAAACACACCATGAGGCTTTTTGGCACATTGTCTTGTTGCCCATCGTCACCAAATTTGAAATCCTCATGCTTGGATTTTTGAACGGATTTCAAGCACCCGCTCGGCCTCTCCTCAAGGCTCCATTTCTGGCAAATCAGCACTCAGAAGGTGCAGAAATAGTCCGAGACGTTATTGACGTCTCCCGCTCGGATAAAAGCGAAGCTTTCCATCGGGGCAGTCGATGCACTAACCTCTCCAAGGTCACATGGGGTTCAGGCTGATTGATGTAAAATCTGATGGCAAGCAGGAAAAAGTCCAATTTGCATGTTTGCAGGTGATGCGCAACTGTTGTGTTCTAGTTTCCTGTGTCCCCATTTTTTTATGTCATGTAGAGCTTTTGTCCCGCCCTGCTCCTCGTGTCAACCAATCAGCTTCCTCTAGCCACTCGTGCCTTGCGCAGGTGTGCCTCGTCGTCTCATCACTTTGCGTGGTTTTAGTTCTCTGCCTTCTTGCAGTCTGTGTGGGTTCGTGGAGTTGACGCAGGTCACGGTCCCGCAGTCGTGTCTTCTTGCCAGTCGTGGTGAGTCAATGCCATTGATTGGACGGAAACCTCTTCAAAAGTCTCAAGGTCGCTCAGAGGCCAGTGAAGTTTGAATTCCCGACACCTCGCGTTCTTCAAACGTCTGCCTACTGGAACATGGACCTTACGCTAAATCTGAAAGCGACGGAATAAATATAAAAATTGCGGTACTAGTAGTTGGAGTTCTCTCAGTCCCTTGTCGTCATGTTTCATTTGTCGTCTTTTTGCATGTCAGCAAACGTTGGGAAAGGAGCACAATGTTATTCTTTTTATTTTTTTTTTCTTTTATTCATTGTAGTGCCTGTGAAAGATTCTTGAAATGTGGCGCGAGTCGGCCCGATTTCTGCTGATGATCACAAGCGTGCCGATCAAACGGGCGCGATTGCAGAACTGCCCGCACTAAAGCGAGACGAAGGTCGGCGATGTAACCTCGCCAATTTGCACTTGAGTGTAATGAGATGCAAATGAAATGATGGTTGCTGGAAGGAAAAAAAAGAGAAAAGAGGGAGCAAAAACGTTGTCAGGTGGAAGATTGATGGCGCGTACGTGACTGCAGTCAACCATTTGTGTGTGTTTTTTTTTTTTTAAATTTAAATAGCCCTCAGTGCATCTCGATATAAATGACTGTGTGAAAGTGTCACCATAATGTACAATAATGACTTTGTGGATGGATAATTTTTTTAAAAGTTTGGATTTTTCAAGAAGTATACATATTATTTTCATGTCTATTTTTAATTTCTAAATAAAGGGCTCATTTACTTTTTATACCCTGAAAAAAAAACTGTTTAATTTTCTCATTTGTATTTTGTCAAGTGGCTTCACACAATAAAATCATCTGGATTTAAATTTATTTTTTTTGTAGATCTATAGTCGACTTATAAAATGTTTTTAGATCCAGATTATGGCATTATTTATTTTATTCAAAAATGTGTGAAATAATTCAATTAATCACTCTACATTCCTAATTTGATATGAATACATTCCTAATATAGATTAAAGATTAAAAATTCTAATCTCTATATGTCTTTACATATACATACATATCCATCTATCTATATCTACGATTAAAAAATGGGAACTGATTTTCTATTCGGTGTCGGCTTCCGTACCGTACGTTCACAAAGATATTTTGACACTCACGCTACGCAATTGAGGAAGTTGAGCATCAGACACCATGGGCTAAATCTATAGAAAGTCAAATAAAATCTATTATTCATCATATGCCCGTTGGTTTCCTTCCTACCAAAGGGCAAACATACATTTTTTTTTTATTGAACAACCTCTTCGTGATGTACTACACAACATCTCGCACGTATCACATATATCGCATATATTTTTAATAAAGCAACGCTTCTATAGGACACTTTACACTGCTTTGTTTCCGGCTAACGTGTCATCATTCCT